CTACTTGGGAGGCTGAGGCAGGACAACAGCTTGAACTCAGAAGGCAGAGGTTGCAGTGAGCCAAGATTGAGCCACTGCACTCCAGCCTGGGTGACCGAGTGAGACTCCATCTCAAAAAAAAAAAAAGAGTGATTTTATGCTGGCTAAAATCCCTTTCTATTAATTTCAGTGTCAGAAGATTTGCTGAGAAAAATCCTAGCATGACAATGGCATTTATTTGTAACTTTAAAGAAACAACCAAAAAAATCCTCCAAAATCTGATTTCCTTGTTTGCTCAAGTGTAACACCAGCGTGGTCCGCTTCAGGCTTGATGGGACCAGAAATCTGACGAAAAGCCCTTGGTCCCAGCTTGCTTGAGTGTGGTGCTGAGAAAAAAACACGCCCACACATCGGCAGATGATGAGAAGCCTGTCTTTATTGGGTGATTTTTAGAGGCATTGCCTATTGGGGGATGGGGGCTTACAGAAGTCGTCAGGGCATATCCACCACCGAGAACGTTGTGAGTGACTCATGACCTCGCTGAAACAATGAGCAAACTGCAGAAGGTTTCTGGGAAATTAACAAATTAGGTAGGGGTAGGATGTGGGGTTCCCCATTCCCAGGGCTTTGGAATCCTTCCAGGTGATCATTCCTTTCTCTCTTTTCTGCAGACACTGGGGCTTTTAAGAGTGCACCATTTCCTGGAATTCTAGAACAGAAGAGGTGAGAAGAGGGTCAGTGGAGGTGGCTTGGTTCTTTACAGACATGCTGTGGCCAATGAGAATTCCAAAGAGGGAAGGAAGTGAAAAAAATTGTCAGATGATGGGCATGGCCCCCTTGGAGGGGACAAAAGAAAGAAAAACCTGCTGGGTACAGTGGCTCACGCCTGTAATCCCAGCACTTTGGGAGGCCGAGGCAGGTGGATCATTGGGTCATGAGATTGAAACCATCCTGGCCAAAATGGTGAAACCCTGTCTCTACTAAAATACAAAACTTAGCTGGGCGTGGTGGTGCACGCCTGTAATCCGAGCTGCTTGGGAGGCTAAGGCAGGAGAATCGCTTGAACCCGGGAGACGGAGGTTGCAGTGAGCTGAGATCGTGCCATTGCACTCCAGCCTGGACAACAGAGCCAGACTCTATCTCAAAAAAAGGAGAGGGGAGAGGAGAGGAGACCTGGGTATCAATGACTATATCTCGAGGGAGTCCACAGGGTTCCCTTTCTCTGAATAATCTTATTTAACAAACATCTTCAGCTTTGCAATAGAGGCCTTTGAATTAGAACTTGTCAAGCCCATCACTTCTATTCGTGCATTTTGAATGAATGAATGAATTCAGTATAATTGTGGCCATCTGTGAACATTTAACTTATCGTCTGGTCAATTTCAGACAGAAAGGGGAGGTTTTCTTTCTCTATGCTGTAGCTGGGTATTGCATTTTTAGGATATATTTGATAGGGTGGGACTTTGAACTGACTCTCCTCCAGTGAACCTACCTCCAAAAGTTTCTGTTACTAAAAGAAGGATAATAGTAATAATAACAAGGTATGGACGTTACAGATTGATATAAAAAACTGGGGATTTGCTTTATATTTATTGATAAGCTTTGTTTATTTGGAAATCTTTCATGGTTATGTTTATCTTTTTTTTTTTTTTTTGAGACAGAGTTTCGCTCTTGTTGCTCAGGCTGGAGTGCAATGGTATGATCTTGGCTCACTGCAACCTCCGTCTCTTGGATTCAAGCGATTCTCCTGCCTCAGCCTCCCGAGTAGCTAGGATTACAGACGCCCACCACCACGCATGGCTAATTTTTTATATTTTTAATAGAGACAGAGTTTCACCATGTTGTTTAGTCTGGTCTTGAACTCCTGACTTCAGGGGATCTGCCCGCCTTGGCCTCCCAAGGTGCTGGGATTACAGGCTTGAGCCACCACGCCCAGCCCGTGGTTATGTTTAAATAAGTCAATCCCCCCCTTACCTAATCTGTTTTTATGAGCTATCTATCTGCATTAACTCCCGTGTAGTAAGTGATAGTGGTATAATTTTGAACAGGTTTGTTTTTTTTTTTTTTTAAATAAGCATCTAATGTAGCAGTTTTAAATTTCAAATTGGCACCACCAGAAGGACCACCATACGTTCTGCTGAGTTGGCAGGCACAAAGTAGCTCAAAAGCACGCTAGCAACGTGACAAAAGCAAGTGAAAATAGTCCTACAGCTGTGCTAGTGTATGCTAAAGCTCAAACCTAGGATTCTGCCTACGGAAGATGCAATAAATGAGGTTGGCTTATTTGTTCTCTGTTTAATATTATCCACTTGGCGGGCTAATGTCCAATAAAACATATTTGTCTAAACCCTTGAAAACAAAGAGGCCTTCCTACGCACGCCAATGGACTCTGGTCTGAAGACGTAAATCTTCCCCTTATTCTGAGGGGTTCAAACCCCACTGGTGGAAATTCCTTGTGCTATATGCAGGTGCATTATGGCATCTTGCAAATAACTGGCCAGGTGGCTAGCTAGTCCTCTAGTCAGGTGAAGGATATTTTGCAGCTCCTAGACAATGACCAGTGTGACCAGCTTCTACAGCACCTGCCGAGCATTATGCCAGGGTTTTTACACACATCATTTGCATCCTTACTTTAGTCCCATTTTACAGATGAGAAGACTGAGGCTCGTTAAGGTTAAGAAAGGGAGATTTTAAGCCACATCGGTTGGATCTCACAGCCCAAGCTCTCACGGATGCTTCCTGAGCTAGAGTGTTTTATGCTACGTACAGGCGCGGACGTACCCTCTGCTCCAATTTTTCCATCTCCATCATTATCCGCAGCAGCCATCAAGGACTTGGTTTCTGACTCGGTCAGTTCTCTGGCACCACTTTCAAACTTCTGGAGGAAAAACCTACAGGATAATAAAGATCCATGGGGATTTTCTGAAAGATCATGCATCTCTGTGTTTACACTTGTGTTTTTCCTTTAAGTAAATCATCTGTTTCCAGCACTTGCAATAATTAGCCAAGGTCTTAGCAAGCAGAGGTTTCCTTAAGCTGTAGAAACCAATGGTGGGCATTTCATTTTTAACGGGTTTTTTTTTTGTTTTGGTTTGGTTTTTGGGTTTTTCTTGAGACAGGGTCTTGCTCTGT